ATGTATTTGATTCTTGTGATGGCAAAGCTGAATTTTCATCAGTCATTACTCCAGTATTTAGTGTAACATAATGCTAATGCTAATAATGAATATTAATTATTACCAATTTTAAAAAGATTTGTTCTGATTTACATATATATGTACAAAAATGTATAAAATTCTTTATTTTCTTTTTTGATTTTGGGGAGAAATAGATATTTAATATTAATTATTAATATGAACAAATTAAGTAAATTATTTGGCAGATAAATGTTAATGTAAAGTATGTATTAATAAGGAGGCTTGGCCTTTTGACACTGTATAATTTGTCCCAAAGAGCCCTAAAATCACTTAATAAAAAGGAATTTATTTTAATTACAAATTCCTTAAAAAGAGAGTGACACTAGTGATTTTGTCCACAGTCTATAGAGGGCAGTAATTATTTTGTTTCTGTGGAGTTGTCATGCCAATCATTCATGATCAAGCATGTAAGGTATTTTTGGAAAATCCTATTAGACTTCTCAAACATTCCATGACCTTATAAATACCAATTGAACATGATCATGTTATGACAAATGGCAACAGGGTTAATACACTGATCCACAAAATCCCTCAACTGCTGAAGGTTGGTATTTGTTTGTGAACTAGCCATAAAACTGCAGGTGAGATGACCCGGTGGCATTTATAAAACCAAACTGACTGTAGAATCCAATTGCTTGATTTATTTTTGACATAATGAACAACTGTGACACTTTTTTTTCAATTTAATGAAGCAGAAAATCAAACATATACTCTGTATAGAAATGACAGAAATCACTGGCTGTAATCTAGGCCTGCTCCTGCTCTCTTCCACTGTAGCTCGGAAGGTGTCCGAGGGCAGCTGGGTTGCTGATGACCACAGGAGAGGCTATACTAGCCCAGTCTTTAGCTATATACTGATGATATGGATCCTGTGAGTTCTCCACCTTCTTTGAGCGAATATAGCTGAGCATGATGCCAAAGGTAAAGAAACTAAAGAGTCCCACCATCAAACAGATGTAGATCATGCCGTGACCTTTATCTGGGACCGGAGCTCCACTCAGATGCACAGGGGGATGACGTGGTGGCGCATACGGAGCTGCTCCCACCAGCCATGTCTCATTAATGTAGTGCTGCAACCAGGATACCAGCAGAGCATGGACATCTGTGTAGTTCTGCCCTAGCATTTTTCCCACTGTTGATGGGAATATAGATACTGGACTTAATATATAAATACAGATATGGAATCCATCATTTGGTTATTTTATTTAGGAATACTTATATATTGCTAAATATATGCAACCAATCAAACGTTTGAACACACTTGACTGAATTTGGTTTTCATGATCTTGATATTTTGATCTAAATGCTAATGCTATAGTTTTTTTTTTTTTTTTTGTAATTATATATCGACAGTTTTAAAGTTTGGGATTTGTACTTTTTTCTTTTTTGAAAGAAATGTATTTTTAATTAATGAAATTATTTTTAATGTACTTTTATTCAAAAATGATGCATTAAAATGATCAAAAGTGACATTGAAGGCATTATATTACAAAATATTTAAAAATAAATGCAGTTCTTTTCTTACATAAAAATATTAAGCAACCCAGCAGTTTTCAATATTTTTTTTCCATTGTCAAAGCAAAGCAGTCCAGTATACAATATAAAGATAAAAACTGATATTGATATTTAAGCAAGTGAGAAAGGTATATAACATAAAATAAATAAAACAGACATACCTTATAGTTTTTGGTGGTGAAAGGAAGTTTCAGTTTAATGCAAAAGCAAAACAGTGTGTCGTAGATCTTTCCTGCTAGTCTCCCTGTAGCTCTTCTAGAAAAAAATCACTAAGGAAGACAGGACAGTATCTGAGATCATGGTTCCACCCCATTATGAACATAGAGAGACTTATTCAGGACCCAGTCCTCTCAAGATGTCAACAGCTTTAATGAAACCAAAAACAAGTCAAGGTCATCAGCTTCAACATGGGGAAAGTCTGGGTCTGAACAGAAGTCTAGCTTACAAATGACGTGGTAAGATCCTGCGCCGATCAGCCCCAGCCGTAATTAACAGCCAATGTGGGAAAGAATGACATTTTTGAATGTATCTTTTTGACTTTAACAAGCTAGTTAAAGGATATGTTGGTGGAGATGAGCATGAGTCACTGGGGACTGTAGATATTTCTATCAACTCTGCCAGCTTGACCTTGCTGTTGAATAACTCCACATGCAAGTGGGAACAATGGTTTACATTGAGACAGTCAGGCATTCGAGACTCACAGATTCTATTTCAAGGCAAAAAAAAGAGACATCACCTTGAAAAGTCCTCGACTTGCGTCATTACTGTGATACCAGCATACTAGATGAACGCTGAGTCATCTTTTGAAAATGGCTAAATGCATAAAACTCAAGAGGCATGTGGGCTGAAAGTCAGAACACTTACAATTTCACAGACTAAAATACAGTTTCTCTTTTTTTTTTTTTTTATAAAAAGGGTAAAAGGACACAGCACGACATTGAAGAAAAAACATTTTAATGACATGTTATGGCTGTTATTTATGTAAGACAGCAATTGCCAAGTCAGTGACAATTTCGAAACCAAGTAAA